CCCCAAAACCCCAAAACCCCATTAAGCTGAAAGTGGATTTTTTAGCAATCCTAGAATTCGTTAAATCTAAATCAATTTTTATGCTTGTCAATTCCTAATTTGCTAATAACTTTTGATATAGATTGCTTAAACTAATATTATAAACTTTAGACTCCCTTTTAAGATTCTTAAAGAAAGATACTCTAAAATGCATAAAACCTACTTGCTCGACGGGCAATAATAGGATGAGGCTACTAATACCAAAAACTCATCAAGGAAAACAGTAATTCATAACGCTGCAGCTTTCTCTCTTGGAGTTGCTCTTACTTACGCTTTGGCCTCACAATCTTAAACTTCAGGCGTAGATGCTGTTAAAGAATCTTAGTCACTTTGGTTGGTTGAACCCAAGAATAAGTATGATTGGAATCAGACAACCTCTATAGATTGGAGCTAAACTAGCCACTTTATCAATGTTGCATCGTCTCCTAATGGAGATCTTTATGGAATCCAAAAGTATGGAGTAGATCAAAATACCTATCATTCTGCCTACAGATTCAACTTTGTCAATGGAGATTGGTTATCTTTCGATCAAGACCTACAAATCAAGGATATCAAGTTCGATAAGCTTGGAAACTTCTACGTTCTTGATATGCAGAACCAATTATATGCACAAAACTCCAAGAAGACTGTCATCTTGAAGAACATTCAAGACTATGAGATCACTACTCAAGGTTAAATTTATGCAATCTCAACCAACATCAAGGAGTCCACCTAATAATAATAGCTAAACACTTGGATCTCAGGAGATGGCTTCCAGTACAAACTTCTATCACCCACTGTGTTCTCAAAGCTTGCCTTGAAAGATGAGATTCCCATCTACGTTGATACTTAAGGTGTCACAGTTGGATATGGATATGAATGTGTGAAAGATATTACCGTGGGTGTCGACGGCAGTGTATGGGCCCTAAGTTGCACCTAGAATGTAGAATCCCCAGACTTCTAGCTCATTAAGTGGGATCCATTCACTCTCTAATGGTACGATGTAAAGGATACTTGGGGAATCAAGATCGCTGCTTACAATGAGATATCCATCTCCATTCTCGATTCCTATGGAAGAATCAGATTCTCCTCAGAGAAAAAGAGATATACAGATGTCAAGTATTACTAAGCATCAGGAGACACCTAGCTTTTTAGGAACTCAACTCTCTTGAAAGACGGCGGCTTAGGATTCGTCCAAAGTCTTCTAGCCAAGCAATACTCTATGTCTATTCTTTGCTATAGAGCGAGCGTAAATGGATGGTCAACACAAAACTTCCACTCAGCTTGCGATTTCAAAGGACCAACTTTGTCAATCATTAAGTCCTCAACTGGAAAGGTTGCAGGAGGATATACATCTTAGTCATGGAAGAGTGTGAATAACTATGTTGTTGACAAGGAGGCTTTCTTATTCTCGGCTGACAACTAAGTCTAAATCACAAATCCAAACGGATAAAACGCTATCTATGACCATGTAAGTTATGGACCTACATTTGGAGGTGGTCATGATCTATATGTTGCTGCTGGGGCAAATTCAAATCAAAACAGCTACACGAACTTAAATAATAACTATAAGCTTCCCACCGAGCTGCTAGCAGGTAATGATCCCAAAACTTATCTCCTCGGCGCATACAACTTCATTGCATCTGAGATAGAAGTCTATTATCTCATTTGAGGAAAATGACTGGAAAGCCAATTGATTGAATAATAGTTGGTTCATGAATTATTAACTCTACCTTATTAACGATTCATTTTGAGACAAATTTTTAATCAAACTTCTTATTCTTGCCATTACCCCTTAATTCTAGCTTTTTGGGGTTTTGGGGTTTTGGGGTTTTGGGGAGATCGGAAGAGCACACGTC